GGGGGCCGCCGCCGCCGCCGTGAATTCGGCTCCTGCGAGTCGTTTCCTGAACATGACACGCAGCGAGAATAAGGAGGCCGAGGAGCCGCGGAGAGCTCTCGGCGGTTTCCTTCCTGCTGCGTTTCGAGTCGCAGGTGTTCTCGCTTTGAACGCTGTCGCGCTGTGGGAGCCGGTCCTCAAGTCGTGATAAAAGCTCTGAAGGACGTTGCAGTATCTCAGGGTGAACGTCGAAGGACAGGATAACCCGTTTCCTCCTGAGGTAGCTCGGTGCCGTTTGAGGACCTGGCTAGGCGGTGGAGGCGTTCGAGAGCTTATAGCTGTGGTGCTGAAAGCTTTCTGTGGTTAGTCACGAACCACTGTATGCTAGTAAAAACACGAATCGAGTGCTTAATGTCTTTGGGGGTATTTCCAGGCTGCTACTTTGGTTTTATGCCTTATCTGCAGCGTGGATTTTGCCCCCATAAAGCTACTGCAGTAGAAAAACCCTTGAATATAGGTGGAGCGTATCAGATTCGCTATAGTTGGCTGAAAGCTTGTGCTAGCAAGGCAGAAAAGAGCAGTGTTTTTTAATCACCTTAACAACTTAAAACTGGTGATTCTCTACTGTATTGCTCATCTTTGTTTTTTTGAGAGGCTGTGTTCCAAGTGCTCTGTATTAAGCAATATCCTAGTGCTATTTTGGAGGATCTCTTCTTCTAACGTTCCCATCTTTTAAGGAACTTTTAACTGTTGGGGGAGGACAGGGCAATGATTTCCCATGCTTGGAATTCCTCTCGCTGCTAAAGCTTTAGCTAACACTGAAGCTGTTTACACTTTTGACACAATAAAGTGCTATGACTCTCAATTTCAAAAATTCGGTGATTTGGGGGACAGCCTTGACGTAGGCCGGAAGATAATAGGAAGTTAGTTAGAAAGGTATTTGCATTTCCTCATAAAATCAACCTAGTTTGTGCCAATGAGAAGTGGAAGAAATTTTCTGGAACAGAACTCTTCCTTAGAAGTAAATATGCTCTCTAACAATATTGCAAAAGTGTTTGTGAAACCTAAAGCTTCAATTCCCCTTTCTTAAAGGCTTGTAGAGTAATTCTAGATCATCCTGAGCAGAGTGGTCTTGTCACACATGGAAAGGACACGCTTACTCTTGTAGGTTAGCTTACAATGAAGAAAAGATAACTTTATAAATCATAGCTTGTGTTTGTAATACTCATGAGTTCCTTGAGTTAAAAAAAAAAAAAAAAAAGCTTGCCTCAAAACATTAATAACAGAGGTTACTAATTTCTTTTCTGAAAAATGATGTGTAAAGAACAGTTTTAATACCGTTACCGCAATATACTTCTATTTCCTTCTGAACTGTTGCACAAATTACTCCTCGCTCTATATGCGGAGTTGCCAGCAGTGAATAAATAGGAATGTTGAAAGGCTGAAAAATCTTTTAGCAGCTTAAGATGATGGAAACTGTAAAAGAAAAGGTAGGCTGAGAAAGGAAAATGAGTTATGGCAGCAGACAGCTTTCTGCTCTAAACTCTGATGGCATTCTGAGGTGCACAGGACTCTTGAACACGGACCCAGAGTTGTTTAGGTACCTATGTTTGAACATGGGACAAATACTGCTCACTCTTTTGAACTGTAGAATTGTAATAAAAGAGATGAAACCATGAAATAATTGCTTCAAAAAAGAAAAAAAAAATCTTTCATTTAGAGTTTTAAATGAAAAAACAATCTCATTGCCTTTGTTTATTTGTTATTGCCTCTAGTTGTTGCTTGGGCTAGCTATTTTTTGGTACCTGTCCTGGGAAGTTATGTGTAATGTATGACTAGTATACAGGTTCCGGTACAAGTACTTTGTATTACATGTACTATGTTTTTAAATTTTTCAGGTGCATCAGATTAGCTGCTGGGAATACTTCAAAGTATCGACAATGAATTTGATGTTAATGTTGTTTTTCTCTGGAATAGTTGCCTGTTGTGGTAACTCTACTGGCAATCCACTATCCAGGTTACTCCTAGTGTCCTTTGATGGCTTCAGGGCTGATTATTTGAAAACATATGAACTTCCTCATCTCCAGGAGTTCATTGAGGATGGTGTGCTTGTCAGACAGGTTACAAATACTTTTATCACAAAGACTTTCCCAAACCATTATAGCATAGTGACAGGCTTGTATGAAGAAAGCCATGGCATGGTGGCTAATGACATGTACGACGCAGATGCCCAGAAAACATTCTCACAGTTTAATGATTCAGATCCCTTCTGGTGGAACGAGGCAGTCCCAATTTGGGTAACAAATCAGCAGGGAAACAGAGCAAGTGCTGCCGCAATGTGGCCTGGTACTGATGTGAAAATTCACAATACAACCCCTCAATTCTTTATGAAGTATAATTTCTCAGTAACATTTGAGGAGAGAGTGGAGAAAATTGTTACGTGGTTGAACAGCTCTAACCCACCAGTCAGTTTTGCTACATTATACTGGGAAGAACCAGATGCAAGTGGGCATAAATATGGACCAGATAATACTAAGAACATGCGCAAAGTATTAGAACAAGTGGATAATCATATAGGTTTCCTTACTAGTAAATTGAAGGCATTAGGTTTGTGGGACACTGTTAACGTCATAATAACAAGTGATCATGGAATGGCCCCATGTTCTGCAAAGAAGCTGATTATACTGGATGGCTGTATTGGTCGCAATAACTATACTCTCATAGACAAGAGTCCAGTTGCTGCAGTGCTGCCAAGACAAAGTATGTATTTTTTATTTTAAGTCATACATTGAGAATTAATCTTGTCTATCTTATTGCTGAAAAGTACACAGTGTAGTAGTTTGTTCATATCTTTTGCAAAATCAGTGTAGTTCATATTGCACAACTTTGATGTAATGAATAAGCTAAAGAAAGAATATCTCTTTATTTAGAAGTTTCTTTATTTTGGTAATAGGTGCGTTTCCTGTCAAATTGCTATAGGTGCTAAAGATGGTCCTGGTATAGCTTCCTGACAAATCAGATAGGCCTATCATATGTATGCTCTTTTGTTGTTCACTCATTCAGCTGCAATTCATAATGACCATGAAATAAACACTTGGGTTTACTCAGAATTAAAAATGTCATTGTCTAAACTTCCAAGTAAAAAAAATCTAAAACCAACTTTGATTGCTTTACCGCTTTTGCTTCTGTGAGTGAAACTTCATTTTTCATATATCAGGGTAGGTACTCTCAGGTATGTCTTAAATATGACACTGTTGGTCTTCTCAGAGTTTCTCCAAAGACAACCAGACTGAAGTGACTATAGTGAACAAAACGATCTATAGAAAACAGAAATTAAAATAATGTTCACTGCTTTGGACAAAATTTTGACTAATTCTGTGTATGATTACTTTCTCTTGATTTCTTTGCTTGAATTTTGGTCCCTCTCCACCCGCCCAACGTCCAAGGAGTGACCTGAATTGCAGGACCTAGACCACAGCCCTGCATCTGCTGTTTAAAAGGGGAACGTATTGTGAAATCTACTTTGATATGTATAGCATTTAATCAGGGAGATAGAAAAAATCATTTTCTACACAGCTTTCAGAAAAATCATTGTTCTGAAAAGACTGAATTTAAAGTTTAATATAATTTAAGTTTAAGATAATTGCAGTAAACAGGACATAATTCCCAGCTATTTCACATGCAATCTTTTTCTTGACAGACAAAACGTACGTATATAACTTACTGAAAAACTGCAATGATCACATGAAAGTGTATCTCAAAGAAGAAATCCCTGAGAGATTTCATTATCGTCATAATAAGAGAATTCAACCCATAATTTTGGTTGCAGATGAAGGCTGGACAATTGTACAAAATGAGTCACTTTCAAAATGTAAGTGTGTCATCCTCACTTGCACTCTTGGCTTGCATTAGTAAGCAGTTTTTTCTATTCCAGCAGTCTCTAGGATGGTCCTAGCTTAGTGATTAGTGTCCTTGTACTGTGCATCTTTGGGAACATCTCAAAGGCAGCAATTTCCAAAAGCGTTCTCAAGCCCGGTGTTTGAACAGATGGGGAAGAGATGGGGGATATTCCATTGGCTTGAGAAATATTCCACTTAACTGTATCAACTTAATAGCCTGAGGTGTACTTTGAGTGATGTTAGGCAAGTTATGTAGCCTCCGTGTCTCGAGCTTCCACTGGTGTATGGCTTAAACTTTTTTGAATATAAAATACATATAGGGGAGTGTAAATTGAAGATCGCAACACATAATGCGGTAAATGCATACTGGGAAACCAAGTAAGTGGAAGGAAATATTTAAGCTGGTAGGAACACAATAATAACGGTCAAAGAAGCCAGAGTTCTCACTGACCCCAAAATCCGGATGTTACATCACACAGTGCATTGCCATGCCATGTGTTTTTTTTTGCTGCTCGATGCCACGCATATCAAAAAATATATATGGTTTCAGAAAGCAATTGGACAAATTCCTGAGGGGGGGAAAAAAATTCTGTTAATGGATCTTAAATACGAAGATATCTACTTCTGGGATATTCCTGAGGAGCTATCAGCTAGAGGCTAGATGGCATGTCAGGGAATTAATCACTGGGCTCATGCTGCTGGATGCTTCCCATACTGTTTGTTATGACTACTGTCAAAGACAGGATGCTAGGAAGTGTGAACTGGTTTCACCTATGTTGGCTGTTCTTATTGTCTGCCCTTTGCACATGGAAGTTTGGATTTTCTCATTATTTGCACAAAAGTACTGCTTATGATGTAAGATATGGTTGTACTGAATTTCCCTCAAATTTGCCACAGTCATCTTCAAATTGAATCTCACCATAGAAAATGACAACCCTGTAGAGAATAATTTCATGTATGTTAAATGTTATTGACTTCATCTACCTAGAAATAGTTAATAAGTCTATATTTAGAAGTAACAGCATCATATGAGTTGAAGTGAATCACTCTTCAAAAGAATTTGGCTTGCCAAAGCTTCCCGAAGGCAAGTGGAGGAGGGTTTGGCGCATCAAACTCTAGAAGGCTACATAAATGGCTCTTTAAATGCGTATTGTATATGCCTTCATGGACAATGGTAGCATAATATCTGCATATATACCAATGCTATTCCTAGCAATTCTGGCATGCACCAGGCCTCCTACTTAAAAGTTCCAAGATAGGAAACTTCATAGGAGAGGGAACTTGGAACAGCTCCACTCAAAATAAGTTTGTGGGTAGAAAGAAGAAAAAACTAATCAAGAAATATAAGACTGCATTAAAACAAACAAGCAAGAAGTGGTACAAGTAGTATCTTTATTTTAAAATTATGGTGGAAAATGTTAAAAAGGAATATTTTGAGTATAACAAACTGGTGAGTGTGATTTCACCCAAAGCAACAGGAATCGTAAAATTTAAAATCAGAAACTTTAACAAAGTAGTCAAGAAGTCAGTTCTGGAGGCAGATTGGTTAAACTCATTTTAAGAAATGAAATCTAAGCCTAAATACGGTCACTAAAACTCTGTGCTGACTGGTACAACAAGTTTTTTTGACATCTAGAAAAGGCTTTGAAGGCATACTTTTCAGGCATGTTATATTAAGATACTGGACTTCTGGCTGTTCTTCAGGTGTTTATATTCCACCAAAATTCTGGGTGAGTATTTCTTAAAAACCTACCAAACGTTCAAGCAGAGGCAGCCTCGTAGCCAGTTTTGTTAAATGCTCGTCACAGGCATCATGATCTTCTGGCTGTTTTTTTTGCTTTTGACCATGTAGGGATTTATTTCAGTATCCCTTCACCTGAAACACCTAACATAATAAACATGATCTGATAGTACTTTAATATGCTTAAACTGAACACTATCAAGGGGAAAGTGCTTGGCTTTTTGAAAACAGTTAAAGTATCTGCCTTGCAAATTCCAAAATCTCAGAAATGGAAACTTTCATTCCAGCCACTGACTTCTGGTGGAGTGAGAACAGCCATTTCAGCTTTGACCTAAGGAACAGGAGGGAGAAAACTGCAAGAGTTGATGACCAAAAGGAAAATAAATAGTTAGGGAGGAAAAAAAACGTAGCTTAAGGCCAGCGAGGGAAAAGACCGCTGGGGAGCGGGAAGGAGGGAAGGAACTCTGAGTTCCCGTTTTTGATCAAAGAATTGCTTGCATTTTCTGCATTAGTCCTTGGTTAAAACATATGCCTTTTGTGGGCAGGGAAGAAATGGGGAGGAGCATGACAAATACACAAACAGAAACTGTGATGCTAACTCCGCGTTTCTCCAGTAGGTGACCATGGCTATGACAACGCTCTCCCAAGCATGCATCCGTTCCTGGCTGCTCACGGGCCTGCTTTCCATCGAGGTTATAAGCAGAGCAGGATGAACAACGTTGATATTTACCCGATGATGTGCCACATCCTGGGACTGACGCCTCAGCCCCACAACGGAACTTTCCGTAATGCCAAGTGCTTGCTGGTTGACCAGTGGTGCATAAATCTCCCGGAGGCGATTGGGATAGTTATTGGGGCCCTTATAGTGTTGACTACTTTCACCTGCATTATTATAATCTCGAAAAATAGAATACCTTCTCCACACCCATTCTCTCGACTGCAGTTACAAGATGATGACGACGATCCTTTAATCGGATAGCGTGTACGGAGCTCAGCCTCACTTGCTAAACAGTGATTTCTGGGGATGAATTTGAACTTGCACTGGACAGCATTCTTTGATGCACTTTAATGGTTTCTGTATAAAATACTGTACAGCCAGAACCTGCTAACTTGTTTTTGTGTGTTACTTGACTAGCAGTCTTGTAAAAAATATTTTAAGAAAGAAATACTGAACAGATCGCTTTCTGTTGGAACTGATATTTAGCAAAATATGTTTAGTTTTTCATTCAAGCCTTTGAACGCTTTTAAAATGAAATTCCAGACTATGAACTAGGAAGGATATAGACTTAAGTGAATTTTGACATCTGTAAATGAAATGAAAATTACTGTTTTTGTATTAAAAGAAGTCATCATTAATTTAAGTTTAGTGTTCTTGTACATGTATCAGAAGGAAGATGATCTTTTTTTCTGGAAGTTAGAAAAATTTCTATTTGGACAGTGTATCTTGATTTGTTCTTAAGAATTGCGGGGGAAGGGATGGAAGGTAGAGAGGTGATAGCTTAGGGTAGAAACAGGAAGTATCACTATAAGAAGAAACTGATGGGGAAGGAAACCAGTGAGGAAGGAATCAGTGCAGGGAGGATCGTTTGCTGGCTGCCTCCATCAGAGCAAGGGAGCATACAGGTCAGCAGTTGTAACGCTGGCTAGCTGGAGCTGAAGTTTCTAGCCACAGGTCTGATGATTTTCTGTGTATTCTTGATGAGTCTCTTGACTTTTGTTTCACAGTTTCTGCACTTGAAGAGTTGGGACAGTACTACTCGCCTACCTCAGGGATGTTGATTTAATCTATTATTTTCTGGATTACTCAGACTGATGGGCTATAGTAATGAAACTACTGCTGTTATATACCCTGTGAAGTTTTTCAGATGTAGACTCTGCTGGATGCTTTTATGTAATAAGGATGGGCACTGCTCTTTGTACCAGCTGATAATTATCTTCTGAAGGCTGTCATGTGTGAAAAAGGAACAAGCTGAGAATTTAACAAAAAATCTTCATGCAAGGAGTCCTAACTTTTTTGTTTTAAATGCTCAGCTTTTAAGGGCTAACTTGGCTTTTGAGAAAAGGTGATCTTTTGTCTGGTGGGGTCTGACTTGTATAGGTTCAAAGTTCTGTCCAAGACTAATGCTAATGGTTCTCTTAATTGGCTAGTAACTTGCTGTACAGAAAATTAATTTGATCTAGAAAGCCTTAGTGGTGCCTCATCTTTCGGCAAGGCAGGAATGTGAGGTTAAAACATTAACGCTAACCCAAAAAGAGAACTACAGCTAGTAGGTCCTTATTCTACAAGTTTGGCAGTTTTAAGAACTGATGATTCTAAAAGAAGTGAGCTATCTGGTAGCATGCAATGCAGTTTCCTACTCACAAACTTAAATTCAGTGAAATTTGGTATTAGCCACAGCCTAGCTTGTAGTGGTTCAGCTGAGAGGAAGTATGGGCATTGGAGAGGAGGATTAATTTTAAGTGCCCATTTAAAAATTTTTTTTGAATGTTTTAAAAAATCATGTACTGCAATTGATTTTACTAAGTTATATCTTCCTGTTTGAGACTTCTGTTGTAATGAAAGAAGACCAAATAGTTAAACAAACAAACAAACAAACAAACTATGGTGCTTTTTTTTTGACTTTTACTTCCTGAATAATACTTTACTCTGAACTGGAAGATGCTTAGGCCGCTTGAAAAATCTGTTCCGTTGCTATCAGTATATTGGATTTTTGACTGTCACTATAATATAGTGACTGGACTGAACACAGGACTCACTTCTGTTCTTTTTCTTCTTCTGTTGGAAGATTTGAAATAACTAATTACCTACAGTAACAGGTTAATGAGTCTAACAAGGAAGTAGTATTGTTTTGCAGGGCAGAACTCAGAAATGCTGTGAAACGGGAGGATGCTTCAGATCCTCCTATAGTGGGAGAGACTTGCTGGTTTCTTATGACTTTGCTGAATAAAAGCTGCCATTCTCCGCGGGTAGCAGGCTTCCTGGGAGATGCTTTGCATCTTCTATATACTGAATAGAAGTATAGCTTTATCTTTTTGCCAGGGTTGATGAGACCCAGCTGTGCTCTGATTAAAGCTGAGGTTTTCCCTTGAAAAAGTCAGTAGAACTGACTCCACTCTGTTCTTTCTTTCCTCCCCCTTCCCTTGAGCAGTTCGGTCTTGCACTACATGATTAACATACTTCAAGTTTTGCTGATGCTGCATACACTGAAACCAAACAGTGTTCTTATGGGAGGTGGGGAAAGCTTTGAAGTTTAAGAATTGAATTAATACTCAAGAATACTAATCTGTCACCTGGCTAAACCACAGCGCAAGAGGCATATGACAGCCTAAGCTACAGCAGGGAAGTCTGCAAAGTCCATAGGAAAGAGGATGAACGCTCAAAGCCACAGGACACTTCATATTATCAGCATCTGTTTAGTATGTACCATTGGTGAAGTCGGGAGCAATGGTAGAGTTTTGTCCTCCTTTCCCACATACTTGTTTACTGCTGGTACTGCTGTGCTTTATGATGCTTGACATTTCATTACCTCCTTTGACCTCCTCCAAAAAGGAAGTGCCAGCACTGTGTATAGAGGTCTTAAAAAGCCCAACACCGTAGACTTAGAGGGTGTTTTTTTTTTTGGCCGTTAGCACCAGGGAAAGCTCCAGAATTGAGCTGACCTCAACTAACCATAGATTAGGTTTCCAGCTGAAAAGAATGCACTGCTTATGAAAATAAACCAGCAACATTACATATATATGTTACCACTCTTAGTGCAAAAATAAGCAGTAGAGATCTTGTTAACTGAATGTAATTCAGATTAGGATTTCATTAGGGAAAGGCCTTCCAGTTGCAGTGCTGTAGATACTACTACTGAGCTTACCATTTTTATATGCTTGCAAGAATTCTACTAGTCTGCCATCTAATAAATGCTCACATTAACCTTGCTGTAGTACAAGCACATTATCGCTTCTTGAAAGGTCTGTACAGCAGCTCAGGTATGATACAGACAGTATCCATGGCCAAGTTATGTAAGTAAGAAAAATTTAGAAATAAGCCTACTATTTTTGAATTGTATGAAAAGACTGAACTGCCTATTTGTCACATTCTTCCCACACACAGCTCAAGATCCTATATTGTTTCATACTTCTAAGTAGTGCCACTGTGTACAGTCCTTCCTTTGTTTTCTAATAGCCACCTTCTTTGGCTTTTTTTTTAATTTTATTTTTTGATGAGACTGCATTTATGATAGCTCTTTGTTAAGTAAGTTTGGCAGCGTTTTTGGTAAAGAAACTACATTAAGATTGTTGGTAACAGATATCTGTGATTTCTGTAAAAGGTCTTTCCTATAAAAACTTTCGCCTAAAATTCTTAAGCTCTATCAATCACACTTCCAGTGATCTTGGATAAAGTTACACATGATGCAGATTAGAAATATTTGGGGTGCATGTGTCTTAAGGCCATTTCTCCACCAGCCCTCCTCCCAAAATTAAAAAGCTTTTTCCACAATTATTTTAAATGAACCAATCACACAATGTTTGATAGCACATAGCAAATATATATTTCAACAACTTTGACATTTCCAAGCAGGAAGAAAAGAAAATGTTAGACATCTCAGAGTACGTTCCACAGGTCAGTAAAGAAGTACAGAATCATGCAAGCTTTTTAGCTCCCAAGCTTTAGCTACAAGTCAGTATACCATGTATTCAAACCCACTTTCTGACAAATTTGTTCATAAACCATAAAAAGGTACTACATAGACCAAAAAACCCCCAAACCCTGTGTCCTCCCTCACAGGAAGGGTAGGGTAAAGTCTGAAGAATATCCCATCACAAGTCTGAAAAGTTGGTCTTCTTCCCCAGTGGTATTATATGTGCTTTCATGTACATTAAGTCCACACACATACTAACTTAAAGCAGTGTTTAATACTAGGCAAATATCCTAACAAGGTAACTACCTAAGAGGTTGTTTACAAATATACCAAAACAATCAGGAAACGTGTTTCAACCTAAACTGAAATACCTGAATGCTGAAAGATTCAGCTCAATTTTCTACAAAGTGTCATTTTACCCTCTTCAAAAAGGGCCTTACAGTGCAATACAGAACAATGAAACTGAAGGGAATTCTCATGCTTGCACCCCCGACCTATTTTGGATATTATGTTCCCAAATGCATTGAGAGTGGAAACTTAACTGCTCTTCCCTTGTCACATGTTTGGGTATGTAGGACATAAATGCTAGCCTGACTGAATAACGCCGACTAACTTTGCCCCTTAAATTCAGGGGTCACCTTGGCTGATCATAGAACCACACCTGTCACAATAAAAAAGAGGGAGTCTAATGCACAGCTCTGAGGATGTAATCCAGTTATGGTAGATGCTAAATTAACTATCACTATGATATTTCTATTAAAGCAGCATGTTCCAAAGCGAGGAACTGAAGTAGCTACTGAAGGCAGGTAGGGATTCTGGCATCTCTCTGCCCATCTCAGACATTTATTGTTTTTCCCCTTAACCCAAACTGTAATCTTTCTTTAAACTGCAATGCACAAAGTCTGTGCTACAGTTAAGTTTTTAAGATGGAAATAAGAAAGAAAACATGGAATCAATACATCAAATTGCTATCTGCTATCCATTTCTTGGAAGGTAGCTAGGGAAGATTAGTAAGGATTTAGAAGACTAGACTTGCTACTCAGACTTCCCAAATCGCTCTAGAAACTGCTGTGAATGTAATTTCTGAATGCATCTTTCAACTTGATAATCCTCTAACTAACTGACCCCTGCAGCATTCAGTTTTAGTTGGTGTCTGCAAATTAGACTTAAGGCATACCTAATGGTCTGCTCTATTAAGAATGAGCTTTACAGTGTCAGGCACAGCTATCTTGGAGGCTTTCCTTCAGTGTTTTCTTAAGAGAATGGGCACATAGGAATACCAAATAGTACCCAGCAGAACTGCAGAGATGAGTTAGAGATGAGTCGGATTACGTTACACAGTACTGCATGTCCCCAAGTTAAGGTGCTGCCCTCCAACAGATTTGCTAGTTCCCTGCCTTCTTAAAGGTATGGTTAGAGTTACGATTTCAGCATATACCTTGGTGCATTTCATCGCCTTCCCTCTGAAGCCTCCGCTGCATTTAGCTGTGGTCTCTGGAAACTTTACACATCAGAGCTTAATGCTATCCACATGTCTCTGCAACCACTGAGGAAGTCAACAGATTACCAGCTGTCCAGTGCTCACTTTGTCAGAACTAACCTGGCACAGTAAAATCATCACTGAGGCAGCAAAAAGTGAAAATTCCTGTCTTAATCCACTTTGATGTCATCCTTTAAGCCTAGAATTAAGTTTAGCAGAATGAGTTTTGGATTTCAGTTAGTCACCTTTTTTTTTTTTTTTTTAAATAAGTCATATCATTAGTTTCTTTAGACATAGAGACTATCCAAGGCCAAGATGTTCTCATCTCTGCCCTTTAATTAATGAGGGCTGTGGATAAAGCTGTTTCCACTGTTTCGAGGAAAGTATAATCCAGTTTGCAAATAAAGTGTCAGCACTAATGCATTTGCATGCATCAATAAATTGCACTTATGGGAATACCAGACTGAATATTTAAGTCAATTTGGAAAGAATTGTTTTCTCCTTCATGTATTGCATTCAGAAACAAAACACACCAGGGAGAAAAGAAATCCAGCTTTTGAAGAAGTCTGACAACTAAACAACTTTTCTCACTCAGCACGTCTTTCATACAAAACTTAGTCAGCAGCTTCTCACCTATCATTTAAGTGAGCTCACTGAAAAAAGGCGGCAATAAAGGGAAGATTTTAACAACCCCCCCAAAAGAGTCAGAGTAATTCATAGGTTTGTCTGACTCTGAATTAACATTTTTTTCTAATACAGACTTTCCCCTGGAAGAACAAACTTCAATCTTACTCAATTCAATTTAATCTTATACATTAAATTTCTTTTTTTTTTTTCCCCTCAGATTTAAGAGTACACAATTTTATTAAATTGCGTGTCTAGTCCTTAGAGGTGCTAATCATCAAGTGTTAAGGGCGCACCCGGAAATATCAGATAAAACACAAGACAGCAGGCAAGCTCACCCTAACAAAACTGTCTTCAATGATGAATCTGACTTGAAATCCAGTGGTGAGCCTCACAGCCCTCTGAGAAATGCTTGTACAGGCACGTTCCTTAATGGATCCATTAGCCTTGCTCAGAAAGAACCCTCTTATCACAGAAGTATAACAGAATCCATTTGGATATGCAACTGTTGTGCTTGTATGTGTCTTTAAACAGCCAACCACGGGGAACTCCAAGAAAATTTAGTCCCGTGTAGAGGAAGCAATAGAAAAAGTGAAGACCTACATTTACTTAAAAATAAATTAATCAAGTACTTTAATGCTGATTACTAAAGACAGTACCACCTACACTAATATTTTGGGTGCGACAACTTACACAGGACTTAGAAGAAACATACCTAGCTCTAAATTTAGACACGTAGCGCTAAGCGACCTAGCTTAATATTGTATTCGGTAGGATTTAATCCACCAAGCTATCTCTAATGGTGATCTAGGATAGAACTTCTTTTGGTAAGGAAGAGAAACCCCAAAAGCACAGTCTAGTCCCATTCAGTGACTTGTTAGAATCTAAGAGACTTAAAAGCTCGCTGAAAGAAAGAAGTTAAAACACCATGTAATATTCTGTGCAGTGCACCTCAGTTGATGTTACTTCCCTATCAGCAGTTTAGGATGAGGTATTCAAGGTCTATTGTTACTACATGCATGCTATATATATATATGTAGATACATATATAGCTTTCCAGGTTTACCTAGAATATTCTCAACCTCTGAAAGATTAAGTGGTTGTAGGGTGAAACAGAAACATGCTCTTTCTGTATGTACCTGTTATTTATGTACTCCAGTGTACCAACGGATCAGTACCCATTTTGTTTTAGTTCACGTATTTCTGCTGATCCACTTCTTAACTTTTGCAGAAGCTTCTAGAAGCTTCTTTGAAGTGCCAAACAGGAAAAAGCACCAAATGTTATTCTAAAACGTTATGGTGCCTCCACTGTCAAGCACAGTTAGTCTTGCAATAGTGGCTGGGCAATTTCAGTATGTTGCACTTGCATGGTATTTATCTGGTTGCGGGTTAAATGCTTAACAAAAACAAAAAGAAAAAACAAAACAAGAATGCTGCCAAGAGAGACTCCTATGAAGTAAGCATAGGACTCTGTTTCACGGGCTTCAGGATAAGGCTGTCTTGGAACCACCTCAGCAAGAATATCTTTCACATCATTGAACGAACCATTGTTCGGCAGTGGGTTAACGCCAAGTAGGTGGCACAATAAGGGGTACAAGTCTGTAGCGTTCATGACTTCTTTCGTGGCGTTCTTTCTGAAAGCAGGCCCAAACGCCAAAAAGATTGGATGCATTTCTGGCAAGATGTTGTCATATCCATGATTACCCACTAGAAAGAAAAGACAGACAAAAGTCAATATTCTGAAGTTGCAAAACAAGCATTGAACCTTTTCTCAGAATTAGCATACTGCAGAAAAGGAACCGCCATACTAGTGCACTGTAACAGAGGTTTAGCAGAATCATTTCGATCAATGTTGCAAGTGTCTCCTAGCAAATACCTAGTCACAGAAACATGAAGAGAAAATGCTTTAAAGAGAACGGAGAGCTCTAGAAAAAGCTAAGTTCACATGGCACTAGTTGCATTGTCAAGGGCATCCTACCTCCAGGTTTCCTTGAATTTGCTCAAGGAAAGATACTCACTCTGCAACTGGACCAACTTTGTTAGAAAAAAAGTCCAAGCAAGTCTGTTTGACTCTTAGTGGCAGATAAACCTTAAGTTCTGACTGTCTTGCTACCCTGTCCGATTTTGTGCAATATGTGCCCAACAGCAAGAAGAAAGCTTACAGATCTCATTACTAGGTGTCCAATGCCCCCTCCTTACGCGCACTAAAAACTCTGAACAAGTATATGAACACACAGACAAGAATAACTGCTCCTGTCAAGTATCAATGGCTGTAAAAGTGGGCTGTCTTGCAGGTAACACTCTTCAGCTCCGTATTCAGCAAATTTTTTAAATAATTTAAAATAGTCACCAAATTTTAAAATAATTTTGATTAAGAATCTTAAGAACTTATAAAACTATGGACAACCCTACTAGAAGCATCCTCTTAGATTTGAGGTTTTAGTGAAATCACATATGAAAGATTGCATTTGGAATATCACTGCACATCCTCAGCATTTTGTGCACATTTAGAGACAGGATGTTTTCAGTTTTTCAATAAAAATGGCAGGCATACCTTGTAACACATCCTTCATACAACACCTACGTCGTTCCTCCCAGCTAGCCAAAAGGTACAATTTACTATCTCTATTCCACCTACAAGCAATATCTGAGGAAAGGATGCATAACAGAGGAAAGCTGAAAAAGGTCAAAACCCCACGTCAGGAACCCAGAAGAGATTTTTTCCTATCATCTAGAATGATGAGGAAATCTCATCTTACAGGGCAAACTTCATGCTGCAACCCAACGTTCCTCCAGTAACTCAGTCCTTCCAAGGAAGGAGTACATCACAAAAAAATGCTTCTCACCCTCTACTCAGCAAGTTTAGTTACAAGATTTCTTATCTCTTAGGAAGTGCTCATCATTTTGCTAGATCTTTCAAAAAGTATGTGATCACCAAAACACGTGAATGGTATCAGTAAATTTAAATTTTGGAAACAAAGTCCAGTTCCCCTTCCCCCCATAGCAGGGTGCTTCCGGTATCATAAGGAAACAAAAAAAGCAAGCTCTACATACTTAGCATCACAATTTTTTCTCCTAGCCTTAAAGAATTTAACATTGTTTGAGGTTGGGAGAGAAAATACCACCCAAGGTCCCTGACTAGGAAGATACAGAAAAAGATTCTAGATACAGAATACTTACACAGAAAATGGTCAGACTTGTTGTGTACAATTACCCATCCTTTATCAGCCAATGCTAAGATTGGCTGAATTTTACTGTTGTGTTTGTAATGTAATCTATCTGGAATCTGCTCCTTCTTATAAACAGTCATATTGGGGTGAGCATTGGCCAGAGCTTCATATACTTCATCCAGTTTACCTTCCAAAAAAAAAAAAAAACTTAAAACATAATAACATTTTACAATAATAGCATTTAAACTAATCAGTAATTGAAATACAATTTCCAGGAGAAAGAAGAGGATAAAATATACTTCTCCAAAGACTAAATGTAGCTGTAAGACACAACGTGTACAAAAGCTACTGAGAGAAATCTAGAATGACATTCACAATATTCACTCAGGATCAGACTTAACAGGCTATTTCTAAGTAGTAACTTTCTTCCTAATTTTAGACAAATCTCTTGTTTCACAGTTGTCAGAATATAATCTTTTCACAAGAATTACAGTTAGAAGGCATCTAGTCTCATGCAAAAGAAAATGGTTCCTCCTAGTTGCATGTAAAGCTTGAAAACATGAAGATGGCTCCTAAACACTTTATGAGGTTATTTATGCACTAAGGCCATTCTGCGACTTCCCCTCCGTTAGCTATGATGAACAGTGGCACTTTTTAATTTTGAAATAGTTTGTTAGCTGCTTTCCTTTAAAAAGCCAAACATAGCAGCCATGTTGTTTCCTGGCATCTCTGAAAGCTTGTTTTCTGTATGAAGCCAACTATTTATTTCTCCTGCTACAAGGTGCTTCAATAAACTGCCACATATTTAGCCTCATTTGATTTCCAGTTTTGATCCTGTTTTACAACGTTGACCATCAAAAATTAGCCAATTTAGAAGGACACATCTGCTACACATCATGTAACAACATGTTATAGGTAGTTGTTTGTTTTACATTACCTAGGGATAGGCACAAATAGCTCATATTAACGTTTCAACAGAAGCCTTCAGGTCACAATCTAGATTTCACTACCACACTAAAAACTGTATGAAGATTGCAAGAGCTTAAGAAGGAAGCACAGGACAAACACCACAAGAGACAGGGTGCACTGGAAGATTTTTGATCCAGAACCGTTAGCAGCTCTGCATATTCAGCCATGGCTAATAGCACCTTTATATTCTTGATGTCCACTCCTTTTTCTCCCCTTGTTATCTAGTATACAGTGAATGTAAAACCTCAAGAGCTGTACTAAGCATTGTACTAAGACTACAAAATAAATATGCATTTTCACTCCCAATTCTTTACTTGCTTATTTCCAGTTATTGAGCTCTGTATTCCAGTAAAAGTCACTGAACACCCAGAATGCAACTGGACAAGCTGGAGTGCCAACATAGGGAAAGGAGGATCAAGGACACCCAGCGAGGACCAAAAAAAGGAAGTTTAGGAATCTGTACATTTTGAGCAGGTTTCTGCAATTTTTCCTGCAGCCTTTAAGCACAGATTCCTACTGAGGACTGTTCAGTGCACGTGACATTTCTTTCTGCAACCAAATAGGAAACCTCTGCTGCATGAGTTATTTAAATACATTGTGCTACACACACGCACACTTAAGACAGAGAGCTAAGTTTACAGCTCGTCTGTGCAGACCAGTTTCAGCACTACAAGGTCTGAAGCATGGCTGTAAGAAGTCTAAATTTTCTTTGTGGCTGATACTGATATTTTTAGCCGATGAGCGAGATTTAGGCACATCCTGTCATTTTGCCCTGTCGCTTCAAGCAAGTTTTGCCTTCACACACAGCTGTACATCCTGCTGCGGGTGCTCCCGTGAGTTAGTACTTCTGCAACTCTATGTCCCAGAAAATGGTTGCCTTCAAGTACTAGAACAAGTCCCTAGTCTGACTTTAGATATATGTTGAAGGAAACTAAGGATAAAATCTGGTCTACCATTTACAGTATACCTGTGGTTTTGAACATCTCTCAGGATTTTTTTTTTTTTTATTAACTCTAATGTCTTTAAATAGTCTTCATTTTCTCTCTCAGCTTCCAGGGCTGAGTATAAAAATGCTGGAGGAAGCTTAAAATAGTTTAATGTATAATGTTTCTCCTCTCAAACTGACATAAAGAGAGAAGCTCCTCTCAAATCACTAAACTTAAGAAACAAAATGAAGATAGAGTGGGAGAGCAGAAGTCCAGATATGATAGAGACTCCAGCTACAGTAACAAGGAAAGAGATTCTAATATAGTATTTCTAAGACTAACTTAACAACAATATTAATTTGCCCGTGCCAGTTTTCTATTTGGGATAATAGGGAGGAAAAACTCTAAAGGCTCAAATTAAGTTATTACACTAATTTAATTACGATAATATAGTTATATTAAGTGTAAGAAAAAGGCCAATATCACCAGCTGTGCCACAGGTATCACTTTCATGAACATTCAAGTCATTAATTCTATACAGAATAATACACTAAAATGTTTAAGCTTTTTTTTTTTTCTTTTTTTTTTTTTTAACTTCAGCTATTTTGCGAGGATCCAGCTTGTGGCTTTTTGTACACAAGTATTTAACTGAAAACTGACTAGGATAGTTAGTTTTGTATACAATTTGACTCTTACATGACAAATATTATAAACTTCATTGTAATCACTGTCTATCTGCTAGAAGGATCAACAGTATTTTTGTTAGTATTTCATAATGGTTCCTAGCAATGTTTTATATGTAGCTGGCAACATGCCAAGTAATCCACTCGGCTGCTCTAATCCATCTCCTGCATAAGAAATATACAGCTAGAGTAGCAGAAATCTGTTTCTTAAGCATTCAAAACTTTTCTGAATGTCTTAAGAAGTTTTACCAATCCTCTGGTTAAAGCAAGACAAATGGAATAACCCTGCTGAAGAACTAGCATTATGTATTTAAATTAATGCTACTTCATACCTAAATTGAGAAAAGTTCATTGCTTTTTAATAAAATTATTGTTGTTTGGTAAAGAGGAAGGGAGTAATTTTAGCTGTGCTTAAAACTCATTCTAGTTTACTAGTAACATATAATAAACACTAGAACTTCTGGAAAAAATAGATCCAAGCTATTTCTGTAGTCCATTAGAAAATCAGAGTAGTTGAAGTTGGAAGGGACTTCTGGAGATCATCCCGTTCAACCCTCCTGCCCAGAGCACAGTCAACTAGGGCAGGTTGCTCAGAGCTGTAGTTTTGAGTATCTCTGATGATGGAGGCTCCAAAACTCTCGGGCAACCCATTCTGGGCAACCTCACAGTAAAAACACAGCTTTCTTATGTTCAAACAGAATTTCCTGTGTTTCAGTTTGTGCCCATTACCTCTTGTCCTGTCACTGAGCACCACTGAGATGAGTCTTGCTCTGTATTCTCCCACCACATATTTACAAACATTGATAAAATCCCCCTGAGCCTCCTCTTCTTCAGGCTAAGCAGTCTCAGCTCACTCAGGCTCTCCTTGCATGACAGATGCTCTCTTAAGTCAAATATTCTTTTCTATTCTTTTCAGCCTTTTTCTATTCAGTCATCTAATTGCTGCAGAGAGGCTATTTCTTTCTGGTATTTCCCCAGAGGGGAGAAACAGATTACATAGCCTGAAGAGTATTTAATGCATTGGAGATGCTTCAGTGTTAAGTTAACTTTTAAAATTCCTTTATTTGGTAATGAGAACATTCTAATCGGCACTACCACGTTTGTATTCATTAGGACGGCACTCCCAAACTCAATTCTCACAGCATCATTGACAGGAACAACGTTCAGCTATGTGCACCTGAGTGTGCTCAAGCAGCAAATGAATCTGGTTGGATATTCCTGCACTAATATTTCCTGCACTAAAGTCTGGAAATTAAATATGACAAGAGGTATTTGTTTACACATTTAAAGGCCACTTAGGTCTGCAAAATACCTCCTGGGGAATAAAATAGAGTGCTATATATTAGTGGTCCAAATAATGTTAGAAACCTGTCAAAAACACCTTCTCAGAAGGCCATTTTAAGACTCAACTTCAAAATTAGCACTCCCACCCACAAAAAAAGCACTATTTTTAAGGTTACTGCATTGCCACCAAATATTTGTAGCATTCGATCATCAGTAAAAAGCAGCAGTTCTACAATCAGTGACATTAAACAGAAAGCTGAAACCTGAGCTATCCTTCAATGACTGCAGACTTCTCATTTTGATTTCAACAGTATTCTTACTCATGATCTGACCCACAATTTAAAAAGAAAAGAAAAAGAAAAGAAAAGAAAAAACAGTATGAACACAATTCGTTCTGTTTGACATGAAGAGGGGGGAAATAAACTTAAGAGAACTATATAATAGAATGACCAGTGCAGGCTTTCTTATTTTGAAAGTCCCCATCCGATTCCAGCTTACAGTTTGAGTTTGAAATCTAATTCTTCAGCTAAGGCTTTAGCATCTTGTTGAAAGATAAGATATACAAGATCGAATTGGCTATCTACGTAGAATGCCATTCATCCTAGATAATACTGTTAGATGATCTTATTTCTCATAAAGACTAAAGGATATTTGAAACAGCAGCCAACCATACATAGATTTGCTCACTTTGCATTCCTGAATGTTAATTCAGGCTTTAGAAAGAGCTAGCAAAAAGAACAAGGAAGTAATCCTGCAAAAACTCCTTGTTCAAGGCTGATGTTCTATTGGCATCAGTGCAGCTACAATGCATCCAACACCAGTTATGGAATGAAGTCTGTAGATGATCTGATACTTCAGTACTGATTTTCTTCAGAGTTTCAGTGCTATAGCTCCTACCTTCTTTTGGCAAAATAGCTACTGCAGGAGAATGGTCAATCACTTTATAAAGCTCTCTATCCACATACTGATCAAGCTCAATGAGCCTTTCGGAGGATGACTGTGACATTCCATGATCACTTGTGACTATGACATTTATCACATCCCACAGCTTCGCTTTCTTCAGTTCAGATATAAGATATCCCAGCTTCTTGTCAATATCACTAATTATCAGTCCCATAAGCGGGTTTTCTGGGCCCAGAATATGGCCCATCTCATCAGGCTGTTCCCAGTATAGGAGACCAAAGTTTATGGGTTCTTCTGATGTAAACCAGTCAATAAGCCTAGCAACTCTATCTTCAAACGAAACAGATTCATTGTAGGGCATATAATTCGTAGGAAGGACTCCATGTATTTTCACATCTGTTCCAGGCCACATAGCAGCTCCGCTTTTATGTCCTTCCATCTGGTTCGTTACCCATATTGGACTGGCCTCTTCCCAGAACTTTGAGTTATAGATCTCCATTTTATTCATAGAGAAAGTTTCATTCAGAATAGGATCATACATCTCATTAGCAACTATACCGTGGCTTTCTGCATACAGACCTGTCACCATTGTATAATGATTAGGATACGTTTCAGTTATAAACACATTAGTGACCTGTTTGACATGAACACCATTCTTCATGGCATAATGAAAATTGGGAGTTGACACTCTATAGATGTAATCCCATCGAAATCCGTCAAAAGATACTAACAACACTCTGGGTTGGTCTTGCTGGAGAGGGAATGCACCTTGAAGAAACAGTAAGCAAACTGCTAAGACTGCCCAGTAACAGTTCACAGCTATTCTGGAAGGTATTCTTCCCCTCTTCTGAGGCAACATGGTATCTGTGGGGTAGAGACATAAGATTTGTTTGTATTAACCTGGCGGTCAAAATGATAACTTAGTTTAAGAATTGAGTAACTAAAATATCCCTTGGATACTTATACAGCTTGCTTTACTGCCACAGAGTACTCCAAACAGATGGGGAACCGAGACACTGCTATTTACTGAAAGAAACAGCTTGTTCAGCAACACAGTTCACAGCCACTGCTTTAACCACCACCACTGTCCATCTGCTTACTTTTTCCCCTCCCGCTCCAACTTTTCCTCTCATCATTTGAGAAGTTTTTAAGTATTTTCTGTGTTCAAAGTTGTAAGAAACTGTCCTAAGAGAAAGCTTCTGGTTGACGAGACTTAAGACAAGGGACAGTTCTCACCTTGAGAGCAACAAAGTCTATTTCCACCAGAATTTTCAAGTCCTCAGTAAAGTCTTTGGAGCATTGCTTCCCTTCCGCACCAGCGGACGCACTAGCACCAAGCTTGGTAACCCAGCACATGGGAAGAGGAAGCACACACTGGGACTGGAGTGCTCTGCGCCTGCACAGTACCCACCAGTGAGAGGCTATCAGCTAAAATCTGTTACAGTTTCTCACTCCCAGCACTCTGTATGGGATTATTAACATGCTGAAGACAACCTGTAATGGAGAAGTTATCAAATAAGCTCTGCATTTCAGACACAGCGTTACATAAAAGCCCTTTCCCAGCAGAACTTCCCTCTTTGTTACTGATATAAAATTCATGTTAATATTGCCCATTTTTTGGTTAAAGGCATCATTTAGCCACAAGATCAGGTAATGTTAAAACCACTCCTGCAGGTGGATAGTACTTATAAACAGATCATTTGATGTGCCCATTTTTCAGCAATCCTCTGGAACCAAAAACTACTGAAATTCAGCTGGAAAACAGTGAGTGTATTACCAGAAATCCATGTTAATACCCTGGCTACATACACAACCCAGTTAATATGAAAAGTTACACTGCTACAAGTATCTGAATACCACTGCAGTGATGTAGCTGCCATTTTGGTAGTGCACAAAGTATTTTCCGTGGGAAGTTTTCCTACTCCAATTTCCCAACTAAATCTCTCACACATATACTTACACCAAATAACCTAACTTGCAGGCAGCCAGATGTTATGCTTATGTGTAACACCTTCCAAAAGTAAAATCCAGGCCTAGAGTCTTACCGCAGAGTTAAATGACACTTCAGATGCATATTTCCCTTTTCAACACACACCACAGACCCAAGGCTACATCATTCTGTTCTCCTAGTTTCACCCCATCCTTCAGTGAACCTCGAAGAAGACAGTGAGAATGTGCTGTGTCTCTCCTCCCACCCCAATTTACCTTAGTCAGAGGCTGAGTCATAATTCTCCATTCTGGGGAGTGACAGGTATGAATTTAAGTCTTCTCAAGTGAAATCAGGTCCTTACTTCTGAATTTTACATAGCTAAAGATGTCAACACCATCTAATCTTTCAACCGTGTATTTTTAATGGGTAAAGTTATGTATTTTTAAGGTCTTGCAATCCTGCTCTGCCCTGAACACACCCCGAGCCCACCTACTGAACTGTGTCTTTCCAGAGACCTAAGCCCCACAGCGCACAGCTCTGGGGTCCTGGGGTTTTTCATGGGAAACTTACAGGCAAGACAGAGGCCTTAACTGCACAGGCAGGGAAACACCACGCAGAACTACAGGCACTTAGGGATACTTGGGACAGATAAGGACTGGCCCTGTGATCTGTTCAGTAATCCACAGCCAGACCAGCCAAGTGCACGGCGGCATCACAAGGAGGAGCCGGCACTCCTCACACCCAACAGCTTTCAAACCAAGACTGGACACCCTTATAAAAACTTCACCTCGCTCTGGCGGTACAACTAGGCAGTGTCAAACCCGGGCTCAAGAAACCACGTCCGTTCACCAGAGACCACCTCAACGTGAAGGCAGTCAGCCACCGAGGCCCGTTTAGACCTAATTAGTGAGACGAGAGCTGCTCCCCACCGCCGGGGCCCTCACCGTGGCCCTCGGCCCTCCCCCCGCCGTCAGCCCGCCCCGCGGGCCCAGCCCCGGCCCGGCCCGGTACCGCGGGGGGCGGCCGTTGGTCACG